AACTAAAATTTGTGGTTTATATAACAAAATATTGGTTACGGAAAATAAACCAAAAATTAGACTTATTAATCTCACGTTTATTGATTAATAAATATTTTCCAAATTTTGAAATATCCATTTTAAGAAGGGAAAATATTGAAAATATTCTGAACTGATCCCCAAAACATTCGTAGTTAACAAATTTTTATCGTCTGCAAATTCAAAGAAAACCGCGCATCTCGTATGACGTCGCTGATTGGTTAATATATATGAATACATTGGAACCGGTTAGTGTGTAAAAATGAGTTTCTTTTTGTGTGATTCAATTTTGTACAAAAATGAGTTTTTAGTGACAGTACTTAAATCTATAGTCTTGATCTCACCACTATGCCTTATTATTTCATCATTCAGCTATTGAATTATTGTTGGCTTTTTGGCATAGACCTTACTTTTGAGATGACCTTCAAAGGAAGAAATCTAAAGACGTCAAGTCGCACGATCGTGCTGGCCAATTGACTTTGCTGTTTTGAGAGATGATGTGACCTGGGAACTTCTCATTCAAATTCTGTTTGAACGTCCATTTTTATAATAGGCTTCGATAACTTTAACCCATTGTTTGATTGTTAATCTTTCCATCGCTGAAATTGCCAAAGATTTAAGTTGTTAAATCTGAAAGAAAAAAAAAGATAACAATATTAGACGCTTAACCTTAATTCACATTTAAAATTGGTCCAAGTTATTGGAACACCTCTTAAGTATACATTAATTATAATTATATTATTAATTATTTTATTAATATCAAGTTTTGCATGTAGGCTTTTATCGCCTTTCGAATATTAATTTGAGAGTTCGTGTTTTCTGAGCTAAACGGCGAACATATATATATATATATATATATATATATATATATATATATATATATATATATATATTCGACTCTCCCGTCGAATTCGACGTATGAGGGTCAAGCAGATCAGAAAGCGATAGCGCGACAACAGCACATGAGATTTGATTATAGTGGTGAAGGTTTCGTGCAGGACCATCCACACTTTTTGAAGGGCCGAATACAGAGACCTGGTGCACTACGTGCCACAAACGGCCCTTCGCAGGTTTTGTATTCAGAGTTGTCCTTCTCCTAGACCAGTTACCATCCAAGGCTATAGAGCCCAGTCTGTCTTGCTATTTACCGATAGATGGAGGGAGAAGAAGAGGATTCACACCTTTCCAAGGCACATAAGTGAATGTAATGGATTCGACTGGAATTCGAACTCGGCTGGTGGACAATTTCCATAGATATAAAGAAGAATCTTGAAGCGACAAAGATGTGATTCTACAGACGGCTGTAAAGAACATCATGGACGCGACATGAGAAGTTTGAAAGAAAATGAGAACTATAACGCATAATAATGAAAAAGTGACTGCTGAAATTTTCTGTGACATATAATGAGAAAAGAGAAGTCGGAAAATTTAACACACACAAAGCATATTAATGTTAGGAGGCGCAGAAGGAAATAGCCAGTTACCTACCTGACGAGATAGTATGAATGAATGGCAAGGCGGAGAAAAAGGGGATGGTAATTGATTGATTTAATTTTATACGGTTTATCAACTCTTTGTAATTTATTTAATATATCGAAACATATTTCCGGTTGTAAGAGCTCGCTTCCCAAGTGGTCCCCCATCTAAGTACTGATCGAGCATTGCTTAACTTCGGTGATCGCACGACAGCCGGTGTAAAGGGTCAAATTTTGCTTAGTGATACAAGGGGTAGGTATTTTTGGCGGGCCATGAAAGTACACGCAGAAGTAGGAAAGCACTTAAGAAACAGAAGTGAACTTTTTTTTTGTTCATTACTGCGGAAGTGAGCTGTTGAATACACGTAGCTTTTGTGGGTTTAAGAATATTGAAAATTCGATAAAGCGAAGCGTACACGACAGAGTTTATAGGATTGGTCTGCACGCAACTATAAACAGAGGCGCGCACGTGCAGGAGTACATTGATTTGAAGTTGCACGCCTGAAAGTTCATAGGTAGAAGCCGTTAATAATATCCTAGAACATATATATATATATATATATATATATATATATATATATATGTATGTGTGTGTGTATGTGTGTGTATAAAAGTGGACATTGAAGTCAACAGAGGCGACAGGCTCTTTCATGCTGGGCGCAATCATCAGGCGGCCTTGACTTCAGTGTTCACTTTTATATTTACATACGCTCTATCTCTGATATTGAGCACTTATCCCATAAATATAGCACACCTTAAAACTATATATATATATATATATATATGTATGTATCAGGGTTATGACTTTTACATAACCCTAAGTTTCTGTGTCGATACTGAAATGTAATGAAAAGGCATTAATTCGTTTTAGTTCTTGAAAAAGGGTGACCCCAAACTGAAAATTCTATTTTAACATACACGCAATAAGGGTAAAAAATAAAATTTTTTCGACTTGCTAATGATATAAATATCATTTGAAATACAATAATTGTAACACATGGCCGAAAAAGTAGGGAGTGGGGTGAGACTTGACATCATTAACTATCCTATACCTAGCTAATCCGATTCACCACCCATTCATTCATTACAAATAATACATATACCAAAAGAAGACATCTTTCGCCTTTTACTCCTATATATACAACAATAACACATACACAAAGGGAACCTACAAAATAAACCCCTATGATTTAACCATTTCTTATCTACAAATTTTTTTATATATATTTGTTCGTTCTATATATATATATATATATATCTGAAGATGATATGAAATGAAGGGGGTGAGTATGATTCCCAATAACCACAAATATAACAAATGTAAAACAGAAAATAACAGATGTTATAGGACCCGTCCACCGCACAAAACTAAGAGTTGCCGTTGTATTCTGTCATAGGACAGAATCAAGAAGCTAACTCTCTAACGCAATGGGGAGGGTAAAATAAATGCAGGGCCTGAGAAAATCAAAGACTGAACCAGTCGAGATAAAAAGGTGGCCAAAAACACACTGGGGAGGTTGGGAATCTCAACTTGGTTCATAACACAAGTAAAGAGCCGGGAACTGGCCGGGAACGACATTCACTCACTTTAACTAGGCACACAAAAGAGATTTAATTTAACTAGTAGAGGGTTTACAGGAAACCGCCCAGATGTGACTAAGAGGACTTAAAAAAGGACTCAAGAGTAGCCCGTTTCACATGAACCAAGCTCGCTACTTTCACCCACCTTTCGTTCAAATCTGTCGACACCTAACCCTTTCTGATCTTCACTTTCATCTGATGCTGAAAGAATCCTATCAGAGCCTGATGAGAGCGTTCGTGTCGTAAGTTTCCCTCCTTTCGCTTCATCCAGATTACCATTCTTACCATGTTAGAAAGGTTAGAAACACCATTCGTTTCACCCCAGAATACGGAGGCGACACATTGTCGCACGCGTATGCGAGATCGATGAGCACAAGTTGATCAGGAGAAATACGAGCCGTCAACTCGAAGTCATAATCCCAGAAAAAAACGTATCTGAGGACAGTAGTAAAAGGCGTGTAAAGCTGTTTCTTCTAAACCAAGGTCACACCGGTAACAGTCGGGCAAATCCACCCAGCCCCATCTGAAGGCCATACCATTGAGAGATATCGCGTTTCGAATCAATCGTCAGGTAAGCGAAAACTCAGGGTTACTGACGTAATTCGCCACTGGCGCCCAAGACCAGAAAGAGTGCAACTCGGTCAGCAAGAAACCGAGCCTCTCACAGAGGCGGTTCTTCGCGACCCCCCCACTAATTCATGATACAAGATCTTTCAAGGCCGTGAAATTTGATAGTACTTATGTATTTTTTATGCATTTAACAGTTTATAGCTATAGCATGTCATAAAAACTTTCATGTAAGCAAAAACAAGTTCTAGAAAGTTTCATAAAGTTATAGAATTATCCAGGAAGTTCTAGAAGGTTCCAGAAAATTATAGAAAGTACCAGAAAATGATAATACTTAAATAGGAGGAAAGCCGGGCAGAGACTTGAAGAAAGCCTGGCAGACACCTGAATAAAGCTGAGCAGACACTTGAACAAAGCCGGGCAGACACATGAAGAAAGTTGGAAGTACAACTAGAGAAAGCCGGATAGACACCTGAAGAAAACCGGACATACACTTGAAGAATGCTGGGATCACAACTGCCGAAAAATCTTGTGAAGATGAGGACATTATTCCAAATGTAAATAATTAAAAATAAATCATATAATAATTATATGTTTATTCACTTCCTTTTACACACAAACACACACACACACCTCGTCATCATCGTCATCTACGAAAATGGTTTTACTTGCATGACGAAACCAATTTTACTTTGTTCGTATCATCATCTGCTATTTGGCGTTGTTGCGTGCAAGAAGGATTTCTAAAGTCACCGTTTGCCGCAACTGGTTCCGTTTTCGTTTTTCGACCTTATCAGTCACCTCCGCCGTCGCAACAGCGGCCGGCCGCGGCATCGCTTTTCAAAGTGATCAGCACTCAATATCGATCGGTCACGTGGAGGAGAGTTTAGAAGCTGACGGTATTAATGCAGAAAGGAGTGGTTCTTTTGCAATCTTTCTTCGGCAAATGAAGCTGAGGGAAGCCGCTAACGCCAACACCCGCTGCACATCACTAATTCTCACCCCCCCAGATACCGAAATGTATTATTATTGTTATTATTATTATTATTGGTGCTATTGATATTGTCGCACCCATCAGTTCAGTTCAACTCTTGATTGATCGAATGATTCGTTTTATACACTTACCAATCATTGCTGGTTATTTCAAGACAGAAAATATTTTTAGATTGTAAGATTTTTTTTTTTTAGAAATAATAAAGACTAAGTGGTACAAGTTTTACTAATTAACCCATAGCCGGGGAGAATAGGTGGATTCATACATTTCCCAAGTGTATTTGCTCGCATATAACCCGTTTGAAAATGGAACTAGGCTCTCTGATTAACAATTCCGAGCCATTGGCACTGCCACTACATCCAAGCGTACAGCACCTGGTATTCCTGAGCGGTCACCCATCTAGGTACTAACCATGCTCGATATTGCTTAACTTTGGTCATCATGCTGGAATCGGTGTTTCAACGTGATGTGTGCAGAGTATCTGACACTCACAGGACATATTGAAGATAAGAGGGATAGAAGAAAAGCAGATCATAGCCTACCTAATGTGCTTGTGTAAATGGTTGGTTGAACAGGGATTAGGGGAGATACTGAAAAAAACAAATTTACTAATAACTACAAAGGACAGGAAATAGTGGAGAGCCATGATCGCCTAAATTCTTAAGGAAGAAGGTACATAAAAGAAAAAGAAAAAGAAGGAGAAAAAGAAAAAATAGAGAAGTATTTCAACCGCTACATAAATTCACTTGTGTAAAAAAAAGAAGAAGAAGAAGAATATTATAGCAATTAAAACAGACGTTTTTAAATCAAAGAGCAACGAAAGAAAGAAAAGAACAGACAAAAAAAAAAAGAAAAAATATAATTGCCGTAGACAGAAAAATAAAAAGAAAGGAAAAAAAACCCTTCAAAAGCTGATCGGTTTTTGTTTCTCTCTCTTCAGGGGCCAATCGAAGAAGAAATGTGAACAAAAAATAGGGAAAAGTTAATGAAAAGAGCATATTCATATATATTAATAATTTCTAAACCACAGACGCGCACTTTATTATGCGCTCGATAATTTCGGTTGAGCACTGTTGAGAGAGAGGGTAATTCTAAACAGCAGCCGTCCCCGCTAAAGTAACGCTCTTCATTAAAAATGAATTGAGCATTATGATTGTCTGGCGTTTGTTTATATTCGTAAAAATAATACGCTAGAATTTCCCTTTCCCTATGCCGTGCGGTGATAGCTCAGTGGTAGAAACTCCGACCGATAACAAATCGGTCTGGTTTCGGTCCTGGCTTGATTTTGGCATACTGATGAGCTGTGATACAGTGAAACAGACCTGTATATATATATATATATATATATATATATATATATATGTGTGTATGTATACACTGCGTGAAATTTTCGTATTGATCTGCGCAATGTAAACAAACTGGCGCCATATCAGTGATTGCGTAGGTCAGTGTTGCCAACATTGTGTGAAAATTTTGTGCGAATTGATTGGACGGTTTTTGAAATATTATAAAAAAAGTTATCTCTATAATAATTTGGCACGCATTGTATATATATATATATATATATATATATATATATATATATATGCATCATATACACACACACACACGCACACACACACACATGTATATATATATATATATATATATATATATCACGGGCAAATCAGATTCTGTTTGAAGATGAAGAATTGTATCAAGAACTAGCAGCATGGCCCGACGTTGCCCGTGTTTGATTCAAAAATCGCACGACTCACACAGCAAACGCTATCACTTAAAATATTTTTGCCCTTCCTTGCCTTTAAAGTAGTGCCCTTTGCCGTGCTGATGTTGCTACATGCCTTACTTTTTGCCTCAAACTGATAAGCTCTGTACTAAACATTAAATCTGTTACGAAAAAAGAACTAAACAAAATGAACACAAAACGATCAGCTTTAAAAAAGGACTCGTAACTGGAAAAACCGAATGAAAAAAGAACGTTAACAAATACTTTTTCACACCCAACCCAGTTCTGCAGAATCAGAATCAACGTTTAGTTTAAGCAAGCGAATGAGCAAATTGGAGTAAAGTGCCATGCAGATTTAAATTTTTCCCACTTGTGACGAATGCAGAATGCAGCTATAGATTTTTTTTTGCATGCTAGCATGCTAGTTAACATTCGTGTCAGTCAGCTGTTGGCTCTCACGCTGGCCAATAGAATCTTCCTGCCTATTCGTGGCGGCCAGCTATTGGCTCTCAATCTGACCAGTACAAAATGGCCGCAAACTACATGAAAACTGCCGTAGAAGCATGAAAAAATTGATTATTTCCACTATGGATGGGAGTTGGGAAATGCAAAGTCGGTCTTGGCCTTGCCGCTAACTTGCAGAATGTGCATGTAAATTTTGGTGCAAATCCGCCGAAAATTGCGGCCGGGCATTCGTTACACACACACACACACACACACACACACACACACACACACACACACACACACACACACACACACATCCTGCCTTTTATAGATAGAGATTAATATACAGGGTTCTCCGAAAGTCTTGTCACCACATATGGAATAGAAGTAATATAGCAAAATAAAGCACACGTAGTGGATTCAGTTTATAAACTTTTGTTGAAGCTGTCACACATCGAGAATGTCTGTATGAATACCATCATTTTCGTGTAGGCCATTTGAAATACACATTTACATTATATTGAGGTTGACAAGAGTTTCAGGGCACCTTATAGATTGTTTTGGCAAAAGTATATTGGATTGTACATTTAACAGAGTCTACCGTAAACTTTATACTTAATAAATCAAAAACTAAGGATTGGGGGACATATGTTTATATGGACTTGATGTGAGGAACCCGCCCCCAAAGTTTGCAAAAGTATTTTTGATACACCCTGGATATATGTGAAAATTAAACCTCTTTGATCATAGCTCAATTAAGACTCATTTAAACACACACAGAAGCTTACTAAAATCCACCTGCAACCTACTTGTAGAAAACACAAGCATAATAGCCCCATCCAAATGCAAAACGACTAAAAATAATGGAAGCACTAATAATAAAAAAGAAAAAAAACCCACAAAAACATCAGGTGAGAACACGGCCACAATATGCTGACCGTGTTTGGAAAATAAAAGAAAATATTGCCATCACTCTAGAAACATATAAAAATCTACACATTCAGTTAAAAAAAAACAACAACCTTGAGAACGGCTAATAGAATAACCGAAAGCACTCGAATATACAGAACATTTGGACAAATTTTGATACACTTTTTGTCAAGAAAAGAAAACACTTATATAAACACAAGAAAAATGAAATAAAAAGCTTAATCGCACTACCTTGTCAGCCGGACTTTAATGAAACTTGTATAAAACAGGGATTTCTGCCCAAATGCACAATTATATATGTTGAAACTTGACTAATGCATGGAATAATAATGCAACACAAAATGTACTTAGAACAAAATGTATTGAAACAAGAAAGTGTACACAATATTTACATATAGTCTTTTGTATATTCCTGGTAAGACCGTTCCTGGAGAATGTGTTGACTGAGTCGCAGTCGGGCAGAGTCTCTGGTTGAATCTCTTGATTCCTCCCTCTCTTCCCGGTACCAACCATATTTATATGGTCGGTACTCCACTATGCAAATTAAGTGGATCCTACCACAACACCCCCTCCCAAGCCTTGGAATCCCTTTTGGATTTCAAACTGGCTTCCTATATGGGTTGATGATTATGGCTATTTCTTTGTAGATCCATTTGCATACTTCATATGCATGTACATCCGCTTAATTTTAATATTTTTCCGTTTTGGATTCGCGTCCAATGGGTCCGTGAACTTCCGTTTCCTACCGGATCTTCTCGGTTCAGGAGTATTCTGCGGAGGTTCTACTTGAAACATATCATACATTGCCTCAATGGGATCTTCCTCCTCATCCGGTATACTCTCTTCATGCTCTATAACGTAACATTTTTTAAGTTGATTCTGGTGCCTTTTATGAGTATTCTTCGGCCCTTTAATTATCTAAATCAGTTCACCGATTCTCTTGTCCACTATGCCTCGCTCACAGAACTCAACGTTGTTTTTGTAGCACTCCGGAGGTGTATCTTTTTCTCGCTGTATACATAGTATTCTTTACTCTATTTTTTCCTGGCAAAAGTTTGTCAAACACTGACTTAACTTTCCTAGCGAACATTAGTTCAGCTGGTACCATGTTTGAGTGTGTTCTCTGGTTTGGCGTGATTCTGTATACTTGTAGGAATTGCTGAAGCGCCTTTTCCGTTGGAACTCCTGAGGATTTCTTCAGAGCGCGCTTTAAAGTATCGACAAATCTTTCTGCGAGTCCATTGGACCTCGGATGATACGGCGGCGTCGTTATGTGGTTAATTTGATATAACTCACAAAATTCCTTAAATTCTTCAGAAGTGAATTGTGTACCATTGTCACTCACAATACACTCTGGCACACCGAACCGTGCAAATAGTTCATGCAAGAAAGTTGTTGTGGTATTGGACGTAGGCTTTTTGCAGCGTAGTACTTCCGGTCATTTTGTAAAACTATCTACCACTATTAAGTAGTAATAATCTTCTACTGGACCAGCGAAATCAATGTGTAATCTTGTCCACGGATGATCCGTCTTGGGCCATGGTTTGTGTACTATAGGTGGTGCCTTAGCTGCTAACGCACACCCTTTACATCGATGAACCATGTTTTCGATATCCATATCCATTCCTTTCCAATATACAAAGCTTCGCATTAAGCTTTTTGTTCTATTAACCCCCGGGTGACCTATATGAAAGTCCCGTAGTATTCTTTTCTGCAACTTTTTTGGTATTACTACTCTCTCACCATATAATAAAACTCCGTCACCTATTGAATAAATCTCCTGCACTTTTTGGTCATTTGCTACCATTTTACTTTTTATTTCTAAAATGAAATCATCGCTTTCAGCTTCTTTTTTTTAATTTCCTTTAGTGTAACCGGTAGCTCTCTTACAATGTTGTTTACCATGCTTTTCACCTCATAATCTGCTCTGATATTTGCAATAATTGATTCTTCGAATCTTTCTTCTTGACTCGGTACGAGTCTTGATAAACTATCCGCATGAATTATATTTTTGGATGATAGGTGCTTTATGTGAAAATCATAATTGAGAAGAATGGTTCCCCATCTCAACAGACGATTTTCCGTATAAACGGGTAACCCCTTTCTTTGAACCAAAAAATAGTGATCAGTGGTTTATGATCCGTTTCAAGCATAAAATGTCTGCCGTGGATGTATTCAGAAATTTTGTTATGGAAAAAATGATACTCAACGCCTCTTTTTCGAATATGTGAGTAACTTCTTCCTCCTGGGAGTAAAGTTCTCGAAGCATGTGCAATTGGTTTTCTAGAACCATCTGGCATTATGTGTTGAATACACGCTCCTATCCCGTATGAACTGGCGTCACTTGCCACTACAATATC